GTCCACCATGGATTCGCGAACGACATTCCAGGTATATATAGGTCAACCGGTTGGTATCATCCCGGGTGCCATGATCATCCACAGCCACAGCCGTATCCAGTCATAGCAAGTCCCTTTGAGTAACGACCGATCAATTAAGATACCTTTCAATGACCAGGGAGCAGTGAATCGAGCTCGTTTTTGATACATTTGGTGTGTACATGCGTGTACTATGAATAGGGAGATCCCCAACTGATGGGTTTTTGGTCGATGTTTCTCCTTGTGCGATGTCGGGCTGGGAGGTCTGCGTATTATATACACATCGTCAAGTCTGCAAGATGGCTTGTTCCTTTTACAGGCCCTGCCAATCAGTAAGTCGTTTCAATCCAAGTTAGTCCGGTAGCCTTTTAAAGCTAATTAATTAATTACCGACTTAGAGCAGCTTGGAACATCTAGAATCTAGAGGGAGCCTTTGATGTATTTAGATAAGTCTTTTGATATCTCGAATACTTGGCCCGGCTTCACGGCTTCCCCCTCCAAAAAAACACACCACTCTCGGTGTCACGGCTTCCGCCAAGGCATCGCTTGGTCTTGGGCTGTGCCATTTTGAGTGGCGCCGCCCTGGCCTTCGCTGTCGCACGGCGTTCGCGGCAGTGAGGCGAAGGAGGAACAGGCTGACGAGAGACCCCAGTGGGCACCCGTAATGGCCAAGTTTATGGAATCAATTGATGTAGTTTGCTATAGGTTTTTTTTATTGACAGTAATTATGTGTATTTAGATTTACTAGTCAATGATGGCTGAATTTGTCCCAAATACTTCATGATTTTGATGAACACCTGTTAGGACCAAAAGGTCTTGAGTTGGATGTTTGTTGGGTGTAGCACAAAGAATCATGTCCTCCTGTTTGAAACTGATTGTGTTTAACCAAGTGGAAGTCACATGAGAGCATCAATGTTGCTGCATTTAACTTAAGATCCATCGAGATTAATTGCACATGTTTTGACACAGGAAGTGTGGTAATGCATCACACGTGTTTTTGCACCCCAACTGATAGAATGCCAGAAATGGAAATTCTGTCTCTCACTTTTTGCAGCTGCAGAACATTCTGGCCAGATGTCGCCAACGGTCAATGTGTAAAGCCACCAGCTCGTGGAGAAAGTAGGAGTTTTTTCTGTAGGCTTTGTAGGTATACGTTGCACTTGACGTTTTTGCTGCAAACTTATTGGTGGGATTGCCCAATGATTTGGATCAACCCCTATGTAGCACTATCGTAACGCTCGAGCACGAAGAGTGCTTGGAGCGCGTTGCATGTCGGGGTGGTCAGTCGGTCGACCTTTTCCCAGAACATCGACTCACTGATCGCTCACAGTGTGATCTCCTCGAATGTTCAGTGTGATCATTCCTTAGAAACATAGAACCATTTGCAAACACCTTTTGGCACTCATGCGTCCACTCATTGGCATTCCAAGTTGCCCTAATATGATTCATTCCTTTTTTCCCCCCCCACACTTGTGTATACGGCCATATTGTTGCATCATTCCTCCCTAGAATTACTTGGTCAAACTCATCCGTGCCTTGTGCCTTGACCAAAGCGGCAGCCCTGCACCGGCATGGCCCCGCTAGAAGGAGCCTTCGCCTTCTACTGCCAACTATGAGGGTCGGAGTGTTCTCATCCAAGATGAGACGAAGTGGTTGGGTTCAAAAAGGCCTGCATGGTGTGCAGATTTGCAGATCTACACTGTATGATATGATTAAGGGATTTTTGCGATAGACCGAAACATGCCATCTATGGAAGCCAAATGGTTTTGTTTCGTTTTTTTGTCTCTAACCAGAGTGCCTTCAAATCCCAAAGTGGAGCATTGTTGGCCCTTGGGCCACGGTCAAAAAGGTCAGGCCTGGCACATCAGTCGGCTGCTTGATGACCACTGTAGTCGGCCATTGTTACTTTTGGTTTGGCTGGGAGCATATTCACCAATCTGCGAGCAACCTACAGAGGGGCTGGATGCTGCTCCACTTGGGTATTTTCCTTCGATGGAATTGAACTCATGATCAGGAAGACAACTTATTCCTTGATAATCTTTGCTAGATCTTGAAAGATGCGAGACTCGATTATATAAATAGTTGGCTTCCGCAACTGCTGTTGTCCCGCATTTGTTTGGAGATCCCTGATCCTTTCATACACATGTAAAAGCTTACAAAGGGCCTTTGCCCATGCGATATAGTCATAGTTCAGGTCATCCATGTTGTTTGCAAGAGATGTCTAGGATGATCCAGAAGTCAAACATTGCAAGTCCTCAATAATAATGAATTCTTGCTCAGGAATAGACACTGACAAACTTCTTCATGAGGATCAAAACCTCATTCTAGCCATGGAACTTGGTTTTCATGTTTTCAGTTCACTTTATCAGTGATGTCAACGCCCTGAGTGATATTAGCCTTAGTTCCTGAAGTGGCAGACATTTGATGTCTAGATATAACAGAAATACTGTATACATAAACACGCTCAGACACCTTGGCAATAAAGCCTCGAAAGCGGAGTTTCACATGATTTGTGGCCATTGGATGACCCAAACTGCAAATTATTAGAATATACTTGGAACCTGTTTGTTGGTGGTTGGTGGTCCAAAATGGATGTCATTCAGGTTCTAGGTATTTGATGGTGTTTGAATGCTCTTGACTGGACTTACGAAATGGTATGCACTCGCATCTATACGGGTATGCACTCGCATATTGACAATTCTAAATTTCACTGAACCATTGATTTTTCAAGCAGGTCATGCACGCAACAAGTGCAGGAAATAACCCAGGAGCTGGTCATAGCATCTTTCATGTAGGCGTTGCATGTCGCGCCGCACAAGCGCGAAACCAACCATACAGCATCCTGACAAACGGGCTTGTGTTTGACTTTGGACATGCTTTCCTGAGAGTGGGAACTTTGGGGCACAAGCGGAACCTGCGCATCCGGTGGACCATGCGTGGACCGTTCGTCGTGGACGCGAGGATCAGCAGCCTTTTGACGAGCGGTCAGGGGGTTTCCAGGTCACTGGGGGTGCGCCCTCGGGGCGCAGGATCTGTTCTTCAATGAACCAGCCTCCCTTTCGGCATCGGCCGGCAGGCGGTTGAAACCGCCTTTCCCAGAGCTGTTTCAGCAGCGTATTGGATGATGTATTGGATGTTCGCATGCATCAAGCAGCGTGAGGAGGCTCGAGCATGTATGTGTTCACGGTCAGCCTGTAAATCGGTTCCTATATATGGACACTTGCATCAAAGAGGCAAGTCAGACGTTCTGCCTTTTCTTTGCTACAACATGTTTGGCAGGGGCGGCATAGCGTTTTATATGTTTTTCCATACCAGTTTATTGTTGTGCCTACTCAAGAGACCGTTTTGGGAGAACAGAGACAGATGATAAGTATCTCAATCGCATGAGGTGTTGAGGAAACTAGAGACTGAATTCCAGCACCGAGTTTCACCGATTGCTGAAACAAAGCATCTCGAATTCAAACAGCCCGCGCCTCAGCGATTCAATGATTATTCGGCGATTTGGCGGCAGAATACATAGAGTCGTCTTTGCGTTGTGCTTGTGCTTCTTTCCAAACGCTTTCTGACCATGAATGACCCACCACGAGGCGACCAGGACGTCCAAGACGTGGATGACGCTGTCGGCGCAGAAGCAGCGTTGGGGGCCCACCTGGGTGGGGCCATTGGGGTGGGCCAACGAGGCCACGAGTGTGAAATGATATCAACCTTGATCATTTGCACAAGGTAAGGTAAAAAACACATGTACTAGTCAAAAACAATTGTACAAAAAATATACATGTTTCTTTGATACAAACAAATTATATAGTTGTTGATATCAAGATATAATGTCAAGGAACTCACAAGATATTTAGTACGGCTTGTGTTGACCCCTTGGAGATGTCCATTTGATATTTGATACTTGTAGAGAAGAACACAGGATGAGATTTGCAACAAAGCCCCCAATGTAGAGCATGGTAGGTTGACCTGACCGATGTCCAAGCAGATGTGCAGTGCATGGAACTCCCCGCAGCGAGCCGTGTTCCGCCATGGCTGTGGATTCTTGCTATTTGCTACCCGAGACATGGAGGATCTGCAGGTGTTAATTGTGCTTATGACTTATGACTGGTGTTGGACCTCTTAAGGGGGGCTTTGTTGGTCCAGTAGTGTGACGTGTGAAGTTGGCCATGTTGGGTGTAGTTGTCCAAAGTAGCAGAGGACAATACAGGCAATGCATGGCAATACATTGTATGGTATAAGGTTATCAAACACAAGTCAAGTCAGTAGAGTCTAATCATTTTCCAACCAGGAGTGGCAAAAGTTTGGAGTAGTGAAACCATGTGAAACCTCATATGGAGTTGTTCTTTTCCCGCGGGGGACGGGATTGTGACCGCAAGGTTTGTGAGTTGAGTGAACCGTGCGGCGTCTACCGGGCCTGAGGGGCCTCCAGGGTGATGAAGTGTTCTCCTTCCCCATGCCTTGGCGTGGTCTACCAAGCTGGCCAAGATGTTTTTGAAGCCGAGAGCGGAATCCATTCGCCTCAGGCGCTCTGTGGTCGATGTGCTTCGGGCTTCAAAGCTTAACCCAAACGCAAGAAACGTTGAAACATGGTCAGAACGAACGAACAGCATCTCACCCTACTGCAAGGTCAACGACGAAACTATAGACTATTACGCCTACGCGCACATGTTCATGCCAAGCATCAATTTGGCACAACATGTTCAATCTTCCTTCAATGTTCCTCAAGTTTGTCGAACTGAAGCCGTAGGTCAGCCGACAGCCGAGGTGAGGCGCCGATTCGTGACAAATCAAGAAAACCGACCGAGGTCTCGATTGACCTTGCCACCAACAGGTTTGCAAGGTCAATCTCTTTTGGAACCCGGAGGTAGTGACAAGAAATACCATACAGGACCATTCATGTCTTGCAATTGGAATCGGAGACTCTGCCAAGTTGGCCAAAGGATGCTAAATGCTAAAGGAATCAAAAGGGCTTTCAAACATCCGCCATGTCGCTGATGGGTCGACGGCGTGCCATGTGGCTGGCAGTGCTGCTGGCGGTTTATGGCTTCCGGTGGCTTGTGGCCCAGGTCGTTTTTGTAGGCGTGGCCAATGGTCCTGATACATATACACAAGGATGCCGGATCTTTGTTACATACACAAGGCTTGTTTGGGGGTAAAGGGTTGGCATGGAAACCGCCTTTGGCGGAGTAGCTTTCAGTTTCCAGAAATGTCTACTCAATGCAGAGTTGAGCAGCCCCTTTATTCATACAAAAGCCACCACAAGAATCCACCATGCAATGTGAACTACGCTGCCCGCTACTTCTGGCGCCAGACGTGAGGCGGTGCCATGCTCGGCAGGGAGAGCGCTCGCGCTGCGAGCACGGGCTGGTTCCAGTCTGAGGTGTTTTGGGTGGTGGGCATGTTGATGGGGGGGCTCCGGCGCGGAAGAAAGACTTCTCGAAGACCTGGTCTGTTGTCCCGAGATCTCGGAGGAGTCTTCATGAAACATGACAGGTCTCTGTACAGAATTGGTTTGGTAAGCAGGGAAAAGAATTCCTCCATGCTTGGCCGTTGATCCTTTATCGCATTGGATCCACCGCTTCATTCCTCGGTTCATGAGTTTGGGATATGTTGAAGGGAGAGTCAGTATGAGTCAGTCCTTCTATACTTTCCACCTGGATGTTCACGGGTGGAATGTGTTGAGATTCAATTTGAATTGTTTGCAAGATCTTCCCATCCTTCCCCCACAGCCCTCCAGTCCATCCATGTCCATCCCCACCCTTCCCCACCGGCCTCACCGGTGCCAGACGCGGACGCGCCGGCCATCGGCCGAGTCCGCAGCGCCGGCCACGGCGCTGGCGGAGCAGCTCGTCGCCGCCGTGCGCGCGGACTCCGAGGAGGCGGCGGCGGAGGAAGTGGCGGCGCTGCTGGCGTGCGGCGTGGCTCTGGAGCAAGGCGACCGGGACGGGCAGCTGCCTTTGCCGCTCGGTTTCGAGGGAAGATGAGGAGATGAGGGAGCAGGGTGTGGAACAAGGTAGCAGCAGGTAGCAGCTACTAAGTTGCTGCGACAAACTATTGTACCCTTGGTGTCCCTTGGCTATGAATCACTTGTGGACCTAAACAGGAGCCACCCCACAGATGATCCAATTTGCCAAATCGCACGGCCCAGTGGAGATCATAGAATCGATTGTTTGTTCATTTACTGCTCCAGATTTGCCAAAACCAGAATCGCTCCATGAAAGTTTTTCCATCGAAGGCAGTGGTATATAGCTGAGAAACTGTACTTGGGTTGGTCTATTGAACTATTATCTATTCTCCGTGCCGGCGACAGTCACCGAAGTCCCCGTCGATCATGGTCCATCAAACACCTTCTCGACATGTGTGGGCCAAAAGAAAACCCAAAGAACTCATGAGCCAAGCCATGCCAAGCCTTCAAAGTTTAAAGCCAATGAGGATCCTTGAGTTCATGAGTCTCAAGTTCCTGAGCCAAGTCATTGTCCTTGTTAGAAGTAAAACAAAAACAATCATAATTAATAACATTTTTAGGCAAACACACACACATAAATTAAGTAAACGCACACACACCAAACAAATCAATCCTTATGGCTTGAGTTCGGAGCCGGACTTCGGGGTGTGACTCGCTGTCCCGCAGAATCTCGGCTCCGAACAGAAGGAGACGGGGAGATCTCGTTCGGCCAATGGGCCCAGAGGACGGCCCGGTGATGCTGCGGCACATGCAGATCCAAGCGAAGCGCTTGGATGCCTGGGAGCCGAAAGCGCCGCCCCAAGCGCCGCCTGGGGCGCCTCGGTTTGCAGACTGGGCATATGGGGTTCTGGCCGTTTGCAGCTGGACCAGGTGTGTGGTGGTTACGCCTGGTCCATAGATTTGCAGCCGGGGGCAGCACAATTTTGAGATAGGGCTGGCCATCAAAGGTGAGATGTTCGAGAATGCACAAATGAATTGGGTTTGCTTTGATAAGTAGTTTGAGAATGTTTGAGAGTGAATTTAATATGTCGGCGCAGTGTTCAGTGCCATTTCGATGGACTAACTGTCCGTTCCCTGACCTAATCCCCTGACCTCGTGGTTCAGGTGAGAGGACGAGCTGCTCCGCTCGAGCCGGCTGGGAGCTCGACGCAGCTCATCCAAACGACACGAGCTTTGCTGAACCTCTTTGCTGCGTCGCTGCTTGCGTGTGCGGCGAACAGCAGCTCGGCCGTGCGTGGATGTAATACAGGTTCCGGTGCAAAGGGGATGTGTAAAGGGAAAGTGTGCAGCTACAGATGGACTCTAGTGGGCATGGCTTTGGTTTCTGATTGTCAATTCATGTCAATTCTAGTTATCACATGTCATCACTAAACACTTGTTCTCTTGGCACCTATGAACTTCCATCTATCTCTCTGTTTCATCCAAACCTCCCCCACCAGTCCCCTGCTGGACCTCCCGTTCACCTCGGGACCTCGGGACCGCATCTGTTTTCGACCGGTTGCGCTCCCATCTGCGGAACCACCCGTTTCCCACCCGGGTGGCCGTCCATCTGCCGAACAACCCCTGCGCTTCGCTCCCATCTGCGTTCGCCCCCGCCCGCCCCCCCGGTCCCGCGCCCAGGAAGGAGCGAGGCTGGTGACCGAACTCGCGAAGGCCGGACCGAGCGGAGAGGACCCGCAGAAGGAGAGGAGGGATGGATCCGATGGTGACTCCCATGGGTGAAGAAGCCTCCTTCTGGGGATCTGTGGAAAGAGGGCTTCTGTCACTCCGAAATTGGTCCCCTGCTTTGGGTGCAACATGTTGAAAAAACATCTGAAGCAACCGCAGGAAGTGAAACCCCACGCGTTTAGCGCTAGCCATCGGAACAGGTTCAAGCTTACTGCTACTGACAAATAGTGGTTTATGTATGTATTTAAATAGGGAACCCATCCACCAATAGGTTCTGGTCTTTCTTTTCCCAGAGGGTCCAGCGAGGGTCGCCCTATTCTAATCCACACCGATGGTCGTTTCCGGCACGGCGCCGTTTGGTCAGATGCCTCCGCGGAGTTCTCCACGGTGCACCGGTCGGTACGCGGTTCGCTGCATCGGAAGCTGCATTTGGGTGCGGTGTCCTATGCGGTGCGAGAGTTCCTGTGCAGCACTTAGTTTGTTTGGGCCGTTTTGGTTGAAGCACAACAGGTTTGGAAGATCAAGGATTTGGTGTTGGAAAGATGTATAGACCATATCAGATATCCCAAAGCAAGGTAAATAAAATCGTCGTGTTCTTATATCCACCACAATGATTGGTGCACATCGTTTGTGCAACGGAACTTGGGTCATTGAGCTCGGTCTGTGGAGGCATTGGAACAGAAGATGGGCATGCAGGGTGCCAAACGGTGTTGGCTGTCCTTTGCCGATTTTATTGCAGGTCCCAACTTCAGCATGACTGGGGTGTTTGATCCTTTTTGTTGTGTTGTTTTGTTGTTTGTATATAACGAACTCGACACCCCAAACTCAAATCATGACCGTTTTGGTGGATGGTTCACCCCGCCTGGTAGGCGGGCAGGATTACAAAAAAAACATTGTTTTCCGTGCGCCCTGCGCGCCACAGTCCTTTTTGAGGTTTGTCAGCAGCTTGCTCTACGTCGCAGTGATGTCCGAAGCTTTGCTGAAACATTCCATGTCATCCACGCTATCTTGGACACCCCCAGCCCTTACAACGTAGATGTTCGGACATGAAGCGAACAACACGTCTTCCTCAAACGTGTGGGACCCTAGAAAGTGACATGGATATCTTGGGTGTGTCCCAGTAAACCAGTAACACTCGATGAAACATGACCCGGGCCCCTACCCCTACCGTTTATTCCAGAGGGGCATGTCACATCTGGAATAGTTGTGTTTTTTTCTGGTATATGATTCCAGTGACCATGATGAAACATGATGACTCTTTTAGAGATGAGAAAGGCCTTTCTCACTGAACCATCGTCATCCACTTTGTGCACCGAATGGGATACACCCGGTCCCCGGTCCAAACTGTGTTGCCTGTTTTCCAACCTCCATGGGCCGAAATGCTGGCAGCATGTGTCCTCCACCAGCATGGTGGATTGAATTAACAAATTTGTAAGTTACAACATGTTTTGGTTTGGAGTTTTGAGTGAAGAGGGATGCTTGACTTCGTGAAGTTCCTTCGGGTCATGTATCGGAAGTCAGATTCTCAATCAATCAGAGCAGACTTAGTCTAAACGGCAGGAGAAAGCGATCCGAAGGGTATTGATCCAGTGGTGTTTGCTCGGCTGTTGATGAATGCTTTACATCTCCAGGCCTGGGAAGTTTGATTAAGTGTAGACTCTTGATTAATTGACTTGACATGAATTTGTTTATTTGGGTAGTGTTCTTTAAAGAGTGCTCGGGATTGACCCCCCCATTTGGATTGTAAAAACCTCCTCATGTACAGGATCTTTTGGGAGTTGCGCGTAAGAATACCAAACTCTCTAATTCACTCTAGCGGTCGACCTCATTTGTTGACTTGGTGTACTTGATGGTTCTGGAGTTGAGGCATCCTTTGTGTTGTTGTGCCTGTCAGGCGTTTGCACAGGGTTCTGAATTTCTTTCCCCCCTCACCCTCCACCAAGCTCATCCCAGCCATGGAGGTCTGTAGTTATTACTGCAAGTGTTCACAGGTCTACGGTCTACCTTAATTGATCAACCCCCCACCTCTACCAATTCACCTACCTACTCACTCCCTGGTGAACACCACCCACCTAGTGTGTGGGCCCATCCACCACCACCCGACGTTTCAATGCTCGGACCGCTGGGTGGCAGCCCAGCAGGCCCACCTTCCCAGCCCATGAGCAGGTAAAGCAGGGCACTTGGGCTCTAGAGATGCGAGCCGCTGCATCGAGAAACGTGCACAAAGAATCCTTGAGCCCTTTTATATAGTACATGGGGTTCCTGCAGAGGATTGCCCATTCATACGGGCCCACATTCCCTGAACATTCAGCGAAACGGCGTGTGCCTGAGTGTTCAACAGATTCTGGCCGCTCTAGAAGTTAGTCTGAATTTTCCAAAATTCAGGCTGCGAGGTGGGCGTGGGATGAACAGATTTTTTGATTTGTTTTTTCGTGTGAATAGACTTACGATGTGAGGTTTTCACAACATATTTGATTGGGAAATCTGCTCAGGAAGCTCAGCGGGATTCTTTGGGGAAATCGTCAGTGGAGGAGGTCATCTATGAGATCCTTGCTCACAACGCATCGACGTGTCACAGAGCGTTGCCGTTGGCCCCTGTGCTTCTTGCTGTGGGGGACCGCTGAAGGTTAGAGATCCTTTTGGGTGGCCTCCAATAGTACACCTGTTAAACACCTGTGTGATGTGTTTTTTGTAGGTGTAGCCTGGAAAGGTGTTGTTTCTCTATGGTTCTCTACATACAAATCAGTTAGAACAGTTTGCCTGAAATGCATGGTTTTTCAACCTGGTCAGCAGGTGCATTGGCAAGGAATTATACGTGCAATTTTTTGGCATGCACATCATGCGCCTATAATGTAATAAATATTTTTGCAACCACAGCCTTGATGAGGTTCAAACTGGTTTGACATAGCAAAAACCATCCAGCAGCCCCCCAAATGTGGGTTTGTTGCCACTATAATTGCTGCAGCAACCGCTTCAGAGCAGGGGTTCCACCCAAAAGGATTTGGTTGTTGCACAGAACCATGGACCCACCCAGTGGCAATTGCTTGGATCCCCAGGATGTGCGGAGCGGTGCACGATGACGCAGTGGAGTTGGCGAATGAGAAGGCGAGATCAGCGACAGTGCCATGTAGCATGTGCGTTTGCTGTCACCTGGGGATTCAGGAGGCGTTGAGCTTGCTGAGAAGCTTGGCTTTGCCGAGCAACTGCTTGCAGTTTGGTCAATGTGTTGGGTTATCTTTATAGGGTTTAGGGCCTAAAGGGTGAGCTATTGTAGCAGCACCAGCTCAGCGCAGTCAGCTCGTTCGTCACCCAGTCACCCCAGTCTTCCAGGGTTTCATCGACCGACCTGTTACAGACCTGGTTCACCACCTTGGACGGATGGACGGAAGGGTGGTTGGTGAGTGGTGTTGATGGTATTTTTCCTTGGTTCAAAGCATCTCCTGGTAGTTTTGGTTTGCTTGGGGGGCGGCTCAGGATTCTTGCACAAGTCCTTGAGCGGCCATTGCAGTCCTTTCACCTCGGAGCAGCTGCCCAAGTATTTGGAAGATGGACCCTGGGGCATTGATTTGTGGGGGTCCGGCCACTGAAAAAAAGGCACACTGGGAAAGGTTTGCTGCTTCTTTGCAACGTTGCCGAGCATCGGTCTATCAAGTGGTGCGAAAAAAGGAATTTGGTGGCATCGCACAGAACAGGAACAGAGCACCTGACTTCTGACTAAGACGACCAGTTCTAGACAAGCTGCACCTTTTTTTTCACGGGATGTTGCCACTGATTAGGTGGGACATGGTGGCATGATGTGACTTGACGCCATCGCCACCGGTCACCAGCTCTCTCACGCACCCCAGACCATAGATTACCTTCTACTATTGGTTAACGGTTGGTTGATTAAGAGAGGGGATACCCCCCAGTCAATCGGCAAAAGAAAGTTACCACATGTCATAAAAGCCAGCCCCTCGATCCAGACTGGTCGGACAACCGCAAGGAGTGCTTCTGCTGCTGCGCATCCTCATCAATCTGAGCTCCTTCCTACATGAAGGCTGCTATTTGACTGCCCATCAAGGCAACTCGATGAGTAGCGGCTATTCGGAAGATCAGGGAAGATGATTTACAAAACATCGATCATCTCCATTTATTGATCAACAGTCTACAATTAATGTAGACTCTATCAATAACCCCAGCCATTTGAATTGAACATCCTCTTCATATGGGGGGTGTATTAATCAAGAGTCTACATTATATAGGATTGTGCAACAGATTGTTTGGTGTTTCTATAAGTTCGCCTTTGAGAGGACGGCCAAACTCCAGACCAGATTTATTTCGTTTTGGATCCAACACCATCCAGTGGATGTCCAGCTCGCCAGCTCAAGCTACACGTTTTGGATCCACCAATCTAAGAGCGAAACCTTCTAAACTGTGACATCCTTCGCAGTGTTTCTGAGGAAGTCAGAGATTCGCCTGGCAGCCTTTATACGAGGAGATTCGGCAGAGCTGTTCTTTGGTCTCCTGGCCACACATGTCACTTGGCTCCAACGGTCACGGTCGCCGGTACCCGACCGCGCTGGACCGACCGCCGCGGGTTCGGCCGCGACGTCAGGTCCGCCTGGAACTCCTTCGAACGCGCCTGGCAGCAGCTGGAGCTCAGCATGGCCCAGCTCCGCCGCAAGGCGCGGCCGGGCATGAGAAGAGCAGGGAAGGAGGATGAGGGAGCAGTTTGATTCGAAGGTCAGGGGATAAGTTGAATCAATTTGTAGAATTGATGTCATCGCTTTTCATTTTGATCAGATGGACTGAAACCGAGCTGCGGCCTCCGCATTTGCTCTTTGGTTTTGAGTATACCTTTAGTGGAACAAGATGACCCGCAGGGTCATTGGAGCAGGCCATTTGTGGTGTCTAAGAGTGTACTTGTACCCCCTATGTAAAGCTGCACAGCCACATCCCTCTTCTTCGTCGCAAGGTCTTGTTGAAGGAGTTGCAGCAGGAGCGGATGCAACGTCGCACAACCAGGCTACGAAAGACCGGTGGAGCGGATCCAGGGGCCTGTGGAGGCGGCTTTCTTGTGTATTTGAGTCAAAAGCTCGAGAGATGTCCAATGTGATTTGATATTTGTGAACACTCCTCAGTTTTGTTATAACTACTTTTTACTATGTCCTATAAGTTGCTCTATTCTATTCAGTTGCATAATGCGACCTATTTTGGGGGGGCTGTGTGACAACCTTGTCAGCGGGACGAACTTGAGTTTGGGTTAATCTTTCACGACGCTGGCAAATCGTTTGAAGCGCTACCCGCTTGGGTGAAGTGGTTAAGTCCTGCACTAGACTTTCAATCAGGGTATTTTGAGTTATGTTCTGCACACCAACAAGACTTGTGCGATGTGTTTGTGAACGAATCCTTTGACCATTTGACTAGTTTGATTCCAAGAACGGACTTTGGACTCTTGCAAGACCAATCCCAAATGGCAAGTTGACATCTAAAGTTATTTAGTCCATTTCTGTTCTATCTCACAGGCAAGGTCGGGTCGATCGGTCTCTTCGACACTGCACGCGGACTCTCCGGTCACCAATGGTCCAGTTCCCAGGTCCAATTACTAGACACTCGGCTATGGAAGATTACAAATATACAAATTGAGGTGCTTGAAAAGGATGTCAATGTAGGCGTATATTATATAATCCCCCCCCCCGGTTGCTCAGCTTTCGGGTAACAACCCCCCCTCAGGCAAGATTTCAGGGTCTCTGGAGGGGGGGGGGAGGCCCCTACAAAATGTAACTATGGACCTCCCAGTGCCTACATTTGTGGACCCCTCCCGGTGGTTGGAAGTGTAACAATGTACCTGGCAGGTGTCAAGTTACCATGTACCTGGCAGGGGGGGGGCATCAAGGATCACTCATTGACCACCAACCTAGAGATTTCACGTGAGGCATCCGTGGCAGAGTCACTGTAGTCTTTGTGGCCGGGCTGGGTGCTCATGCGAAACGCTTCCGACATCCCAGCATTTTGTGATGAGCGGTCTAGGAATGCCAGTCTATAGGTATATATGCCAGTCTAGGATACCAGTCCTTCATGTTCTCAGCAAAACCTTCATGATCATGAAGGTCTTGCTGAGAGCATGAAGGACTGGTCACATGCCTCGCATTGAGCAGCATGAGGGACACCGACGCACCACCTGCGACGCGACTGCGATAGGTTTTGTTTGCGGTCCTCTGGCTTTGAGCTGATGGTATATATTTGGTGCATCAATGCAATGTTTTGCGTCAACTGCTTGTTGGGGCAGGTAAACATGGAGGTTTGGGGGCCTGGGGAAGGGCACGTTACATGTTGCGAGTGTTGCTGGGGTCTCTTTTGGTTGTTGGTTGTGTGTTGCGGGGGAAGGGTGTGTGTGTGTGTGTCCACCCCTGGACAAAGGGTTTTCCACCACCACCTTTCGCAAGCAGGGGGATCAGGGACGTTTGGCCTGGCCTGATCCAACGAAGCTCCAGCCATTCGTCAGGATATTCTCGAGGGACGCCTTGAGAACGTACCTGCAAAGTGCTACACAAGCTGTTACCCTCCTTTTCCGCTTTTTGATTCATGGTGGTTTCGCATGATACCTTCCCGCAAACCTTTCTTCTTCCCCAGCAGCTGCGCCGCCATCTTGATCGTCTCGCAACCGTTTTGAGTGAACAATGTTCAACAATACTTCTCAGCGGACTCTTTCGCCTTACCGTTCCATCACCTTCCTTCCCATCGTGAACTTGCATTAACGGAATACAAGTGTCAGAGTGTGTTTCGCTCAGCCGTCCCACTCGGGTGCTGAGTGTGATCCCCGTCACAGGGGCGCAGATTTTGCATGGGAAAGCAACCACCACAACGCACCACCACTCACTGGACTCTCACAGGAAGGCACCGACACCCTCACAGAATCAACCGACATACCGGCCGCCGGGCCAAAAAACGGTTCCTGAAGAATACATCGAATATCAACTTTCAGGTTTCGGATCCATCAAGTTCACTCCTTCAAGTCACGTTTATGTTTCCATGTTTTGCCTTATCGATGCCGTGACTCTTTCATCAGCAGAACTCAAGTTTGGGCATTAGAGTTCTTCAATCTAATTCGAGATGCATGAACACACACCTACCAACAAGTTCACCTCTAGCACCACCTTACAACATACTCTCCATCGACACCAGGGATGAGACTTTCAACAACATCATGACAATACAACTCGGCACTTCTCCGCTGCATTTTTGCTGCCGCGCCGCGCCGTGCCATAGCTACGACCACGACATGCATTTTCCGTGGCCATACGCTCACGCCACGCCACCACCACTACCTACCACACAACCTCAACCCACATGGCCGCTGCCACAGCCATCAACTGCACCTACCTTTCCCACGACACAACCACCGGCATACCCTCACCCACACCCACAACCATTTCAACCACCACCTTTTTTGTCCAATCCCACCGCCACTGCACTGACCTACGGCACACCGTCCACCTGGACGTTTGTGCAACCATGTCACGTGCCACCGCAGCCCACACATCCAACTCCAGTATTTCCGTCAGCAGCACCTCCCCCTTCATACCTGCTGCCGCCACTACATCCCACACCACAGGCTGAACTTCCTCCCCCCACTACACTGACACATTCCCCTCCAACACAGCAACAGACCGCGATTGCCAATCATCCGTCGACAGACCCACAATGCGCCATCCCCCAGGGCGTTTGGCAACCCTATTCAGCTTTTCCCCCAGTCACACAGCCGCCACCCCAACCATTACCCCCACCGCCACCTCCACAAACCATCAGCGCCTCACCACCAGTCCAGCCTCCACTCCCACACCAGACGCCATCAGATCCAACACCACCACTCCAACATATCCCCACAACCGCCACGGACGCTCCATTGCCTGTCCAAAGCACGACCCCTCCAGCTACCGCATCCCAACCCTCGGCATCACCATCGCTTGCATCAGCCACACCAGCTCCCGGACCTTCACTACCTGCAACGGACAAGCTCGATACCACCGCCTCACCAGCACCACAACCACCTTCCCCGCAGCCACCACACAGCAGTCGCCGCCACCACCACAAGAGCCGACGCAAGTCCGACCATCACCGCAGAGGACGCCGCCACCACCGCCGCCGACATCGCCATCACCACCACCCCAAGCACCACAGCACAACCCGGCGACGCCGCTCACCCTCGACATCCACTTACACATCCAGCCTTACACCATCCCGCAGTCGCTCACCACCACAACCCATCGATTTACGCCCCAACACTGAACACACCAACCCAGACCCCTCTCAATTTCCTACCACAGCCGTCCTTCGTCGCCCAATCAACCGTTGGCGACCTCCACCCAACTTTCACACATTTTCACCTGCGGACCAAATCCTGGAATGGCTTGAATTCCACGCCACCCAACTCGACAACCCCAACCGACCACAGCACCAGTACATTGCCAATCTCCTCACAGACTGCAACATCACCTACAAGGAGATCACTGATTTCCGGCAATATACTCACGCCAAATGGAACGACACAACTCACCAATACGACCAATTCCAATACTACGCCATTTCACTTCCTTTTCTCAACACAAAAGCCACTACACCAGAACCGCCTGCGGTCTCCCGAGCCACATCAACCCATCGGGAAGTCGCCCACATCAACGCAGGCCACACAGGCCCCGTCGGCAACATTTCCAACATTCTACGCCAAGGTCGATTTCTACCCAGCACACTTCACTTTGCCAACTACCCTGGATTTTTTGCCCAGGGCGTCCGCATCACCCACAACCAACCCCATGATCACAGCGAATTTGCCCGCATCATCCACAACACCTGGCAACTCCACAAGAACTCCCATTCCCTTATCATCACACTCCTTGCTTGGGGTGCCGCCACAAAATATACCTCCGGAGGTGAGGAACACGCCATGAACCTCCTTAACGATCACCACGGTGCAGTCTTCCACCAGAAGGGCCGCTGCTGGGTGATCCACCCGGACCATGCCATTGTCAAAGGACTGGCCTGGTCCACAAACTCCACTCCACCAGACACATAACACCACTGTCCAACACCTACACACCCCTACCACCTCCGCATCCACCTTTTGTCTCACACCACCACATAACCCTTGCTCATAGCAGCCAAAAAGAGCCTCCTGCAGCGGCCACACGAATTTTGAACCTTCAATTTTTCAAGCTCTGCAGGTTTGCTGTAAACGTCTTTCTCCGAATCGTACCAGCTGTTTTGATGCAGTATTTCACATGTCAGAGCTTCATGCACTTGATTGTTCAACCTGAATTGCGTTTTCGCACCATGCCCGTGGGAATTTGATGCTCGTTTAATTCATATGCACGGCCACGTGATGACGCGCTCCCGCAGACCAGCTGCTGTCCTGCTGCTTTGGCGCGCTGCCGCAGCAACCCGTGACGACTCTGTGCTACTGTACATCCCTACATCTCCAAATCATGAGCAGCACACCGACACCTCTACACAACGACACCTCAACTCTCATACACAGAACCACAGTGGTACTTTCGCAGGTACAAAACCTGCTCAGACAAGCAACGGATATTGTAGCACACCTTCACACTCATTTCCTCCACCACATCCACCAAGCGGATCCCACTTTCCGCCAACACTTTCAGCCACTCCCAACTCCGCCTATCCACCCTATACGTTTACCATCCACCACCTCCTCCTGTGACTCAGCACCATCCAGACCACCCACCCGTCTACCAGCGCCACTCTCGAAAGACTCAGACGACACACCAACAACACCCCCAGCTCCACAACCTACCACAACACGCAAGCGGAAGCAACCACTCCCACCACCACTGAACCAACAAGCGGACTGGGACGCTTGGGACGGCGACGCCGATTGCCGCCTGGTCGAACTCAAAGAAAACCCCCGACTTCGTCCCAACTGGACCACTGCGGCTCGCCGAGTGGGCTTCTCCGTCGAGCAATGCCAAGCCCGATGGCAAGAACTCAAAGACATGCAACGTCAG